TGACTTGGGACTAACTTTAGCCCCAAGTCAGACCACACAGCATTAATGCAGTTTAACGTCTTCAGGTGTAGATACTGGCCTATTCCTGCTTACTGCACAGTAAATTTAAGCTGTAAATGTATGTATAGACACGTCCTTTGAGGCTTTTTCCTTCTGCCAATTTGATTAAATATGTATCCTACCCGCACAGAGCTCTGAAGATATATTTTTACTGTGAAGCACTTGGATACTAAAACGATGCATGTCATCAAAGTACATATACATAACAGTCATTTCAACCCCCTTTTCCTAAGTAGTCATTTCATATACTAAATATATACATAATTTAAATGTCCTTTTTCTAGGGAGAAACAGAATTGAGTTGTGGTCAAGCCCCCATAACAGAATTGTTTATATTACCTAACCGTGGGGAAAGTTTGTATCAGCTTTCCCAAACCAGTAATTTTAGAGTATTCCTTCACTTCCTGGTGTTTAAGGGGACCTGGTGGAGAAAATAAAAGGAGAAATAAATATGGCTTGTGACTATTGAGTGTAACATCTGAATTTTGTTGGACCTAGGTATTGGCAAGTATAACAGAAAGGAAATATTTTTTTTTACCTAAATGTAATAGTGACACGAGCAGAATATTAAGGATGTGGGGAAGCAGAACATAATCTTTCATTCTCATTGGTCAGCTATAATATTAAAATAACTAAAAATGGGTTCAAAGACTGTAAGATCACTGAAGAACTCACTTGTTAAGCTAACCATGATAAAGCAGGAGTAAAGCACTCCCAGTGTTACTAGCCGGATAAGTGGCATAGGGCTTGTCTGCAGGCTAGGATGGGCCCACAGATTAGCCTGCGTGCCTCATGCAGCGTGTGTCCTGAACAGGCTCCACGTGCTGTGTGCGGCACATGCACCAGTCTGGAGCGTGTCACGTGACGTGTGGGTCCAGTCTGTGTCCCATGGGCAGCATTACAGGCTGGATGACAGGGATCTGCAAGTTGTATCTTTTGACACCCCTGCCTTAGCTTATCTTCTGACCATCTCCACATTCAAATGCAGGATGTGTACTGAGGTAGGAATGTATAGGGGTGGAGAAGAAGAGTAGAAATGCTGTGAAAATTCTGGGTAAAACTGCTGCCTATCAGCAGCTACAGATATGTTGACACAATTTACACAACCCTCTACAGCTGTCTGAATTGCACCACAGGCTGCCCCAGCACAAGCCAGAACTGAGGACAAAAAAGGTGATATAAAATCACATTAGTTATCACAGCTTAAAGATCTGTGCTGTGTTCAGTGATTTGGCAGATAGCATTTTCACCCCAAGTTCACTTTAGTATAGATGCTCCTGAAACTAAACTAACACCCATTCCAGAATGCTGTTACACTGGAGGGAGTGGGGGGGGGGGGGGGGGTAGAAGAAAGACTCAGTAGTCTTTTCTCTCATGCCTAAAGTTATTGTGATTGCCATGTACTAAAATAGTCAAGATTTTTGGACCACCAGCAGTTATACAGACCAAATATTTATAAATTAAGGCGGTTATTCTTGTTTTATAAAGAATTATACAGGATGGGGGGATAGGGAGAGAGAGAGACTTAAAAATCACAAAGCAACCACAAAGCTAAGTAGGGATAACAATGAACTGGGACCTGGGCTCTATTCTGGTTTTCTGCCACCAACCTTCTGGGTAATTGCAACTTGTTTTACCTCTGCATCGCTCAGATTTCCCATTTATGAAATAGGGATGGAGGTTGATGAAGTATCTAGAGATGAAAAGGACTGTTTAAGTTAAGCACTATTAATTTTCAACCACATGGTAAATTGCTAGCAAACCTACACATGAGAACAACAGCTGCCCATATAACCACAAACTTCTAAAAAGTGTTAAAAGGATATTTTGTGACAGACATCTTCATAGTATAGAGGATTTTTGTCCCTTTCTAGAACATCAGTGTGACAGTCAAACCTAGAAAAAGCAGAAAATGTAAAATAGCACAATGCTGCCCTCTTTGAGTAGTGATCCAATCTATAATACATACTCTTGCACTCGCCTGTTACAGACACTGCATATGGTTCAGGGAATAGGGCATATTATGACTAGCAGTTTAACTCAGGGGTGAGCAAAATATGGGCCATGGGCCCGATTTGGCCCACCAGGAAATTTCATCTGGCCGATGGGCACCCACCAATTAATTGTACCCAGCCCAGCCCATGTGCCTCACTCTCACCCTCACGTGCAGAAGGGCCCGGCCCAGCCAGCATGCCCAGCTTCCAGGTGGGGCTGCTGCTGCCACTGCTGCATCCACTCAGGGATCTGCTTGGCTTCCACAGTCTCCAGCAGCTCTTCCTCCTGTCACTGCTGCAGCGCTTGCTCTGGGCAACTGGTAGGGAAGCGGTGAGGGTAGCGGGGAGAAAGAGGGAGCTGTAGCTGGGCGGGAGCCCAGAATGCATAGCGTGGGGCTGGGGCTGGTGGAAGCGCAGAGCCCAGAGTCTGCACCCGGGGGCCAGCAGAAGCTCGGGTGGACAGGGTGTGGGTGTGTGGGGTGTGAGGAAGGGAACTCCCCTACACACTGCCCACCCAATGGCAGACAGCCCCTGCCACCGGCAGCAGTAGCAGCAGGGCCTCATGGTGCTCATGGCCCATGCAGGCACTGCCTCCCAGTGGTGTGCAGCTCCAGCCAGTTCTGGGAGCAGCACGTGGCAGCAAGAAGCAGAGCTAGGCTAGCCCACCTCTCGTGCGGGGCCCCCTGCAGTGCACATCCAGCTCCTGGCACTCGTGGCCCACCAGGGAGAAGCCCCACACGACGGAGCCAGCTGCCTTCCCCGCTGCCTGACACCATGTGCAGTTGCTGGGACTCCACCAGGAAGCAGGGGGTGGGGCTCCCCATCAATTCCAGCAGAGTCCCAGTCCACTGGTTCCATCATGCAGGGCTTCCCTCTGGTGGCACGAGTGCTGGGAGGTGCATGTGCACCACGGGGAGCCCCAGGCAATACAGGCAGGCTGGCCTGGCTCTTCTTCTTGCTGTCTCATCCAGCTCCTGGAACTGGCTGGAGCTGTGTGCTGCCAGGTGGCAGCCCGAGTGTGGGCCATGAGCACCCAAAGGGCCCACTGTCTGCTGCTGCTGCCAGTGGCAGGGGCTCTGCACCATGGGGAGGGGGAGTCTGTGGAGGAGTCCCCACACCCCCTACCCTCCCTCTCACCCCACAAACCCCACACACCCACACATGCCCTCACAACCCACCCCACAGATACAGACACCTAGCAACATACCCTATTCCCCACACACAGCCACACTCCCTCACAAACCTCACACACATACACACACCCCCCCACCACACACACACACCCAGCCCCCAACCACACCCCACACAGTCCCCCATGCACTATATACAAGAGTAAGACTTTATTTTTGAGCTATTATGCAATCACCTCTATATACACTATGCCAGCATTTCTCAACCTGTGGGTCGCAACCCAAAAGTGGGTCGCAAGAATATATGAAAGGGCCGTGAACAAATTTTAGAAATGGTTCAACAAACTTTAAAAGTGGATTCTTTTTTAAAGGAGAAAAATGTGGGAAACGGTGGCTTTTCCCTTGCAAGCTGGCAGAGTTCCAGCCTGGAAGGGGTTGCTTGGGGCTCCCCCTGCCCCACACACCCACCCCCTGCCCCACACACTGGGGGGCTGGGGGTGGGAGGCAGCAGGCTGGGAATGAGGGGCACTGGGTCAGGACTGGCCATTAATGTTTACAAATGGGTCCTGCTACAAAAGAGGTTGAGAACCACTGCACTACACAAATACAAATTGTGACAAAAATATTTTTTGAAATTAAATTAAACTATGTTATAGTAGATATTTGACTTTTAATATGTGATTCGTTTTTTTTTTCTGGTTCCAAGATGGCAACCCCTACTCCCAAAAGGAGTACTTCCAGGGGAAAGAGAAGGGACTTCCAGTCCCAAGATAGCAACCAGGGGGCAGGGCAAATATCAGGCGCAGGGCTACCATTGCGACCTTCAACAGCTCACCAAAACTCATTAAGCGGCCCTTATTAAGCTGAAATAATTGCCCACCTCTGGTTTAACTCCTCTCAAGGAAAAACTTGTAATCAAGAGAAGTACCTAAAAAAATGAGTATGATTTGCCTTTTATAACCCTCACTCTTTTTGCAACCATCTTTATCTGTATTCTACTTAATGTATCATCACTTACTTACCTCTCTTATACCTCACCCTGCTAATGGTCTTTGAGGCAATAAGTGTCTGTGCAGTACTTCTGACCAATCTACACGATTCCCAGCTAAAATGAAGCAACTGGATCTTTCAAGGTAAACATCCTTCCTCTGTACTTCAACTTATTTACTACGGCCAAACTCCTGTTAGATTTTATTACGCTACAATCACAGCACTGCCAAACTTTTACAGTGAATTTCTTCACCAGTTGGTACAGCTACACCGGGAATTGTGAAGATGGTTAAATTGCATGCTGATAGTTCCCAAGGGGTATTAGCAGCTCTGGGGGAGGTAGAGTTAAGGTTGTATTGCCATTAAATCAGATTAAACTGATTTCTACCTGATCTAACCCAAAATAAATGTTCACACTGTTTTGCAGAGATTTAAATACATTGGTTTCAAATCTTACCTTTAATTGATCTGTTGTAATTTTCTCTTATAGACTATCTACTTTAACCAAAAAAATCATTTAAGTGACTTCATAAGCAGCAAATGTTCATTAGTTTAACCATACCATCTTAAAATTTACTCTTTCTTTGCTTAAATTAGTGCATCACTTTGTGTAGACCCGGCCTACAACTTGACCTTGACTGGAATAACGAAATGATGTTACATGCTTAAAATAAACCCCCCCCCCCCGCCCCCCCCCCCAGCTGATATGGCTAATTTAGCTAACTGTACTGGAGGTTCTCTATATTCTGAGATTTACCATGAAAGAATTCATATGATACAGATAAAAATGTTCAGATTTTATTTCACAAAATGAACAGTTCAGCAAATGCAATATCATTGGTAATATTTTTTGACTTTGGAGCACCAACATTATATAAAACTATGGCATATTAATGTTACCGATCTATACTTCTTATCAGATATTGGGAAAAATGCAGTGTGAGAAAAATGTTCAAATAGAAACATGTACCAAATTTTCACCTGCTGTAACTCCAATGATTTTAATAAAAATAAATCATGAAGCTCTCAAGACAGCCAATATTTAAAGCACCTTTGAATAATTTAGGCCACACATCTTTCCTGTGCAAGTCTCCATTTCTGTATAATGCAACGATATTTATCAGAGCAATTTGTAAAGGTTTCCTCATGGAAACACACCAGGCATAAATTTGAGTCACTAAATCAACCCCATCTTGGGCATGTCTACACATTTACTGTGCAGTTGATTAATTAGCTGATCAATAAGCGTCACACATCTACATGCATGCCCCTATTAGGCCGTAGTAGATTAATTAACTCTACAGCAGGATAGTACTTTTAAATACAAGTACTATCCTGCTGTGGAGTTTTTTCACCCTGCAGCAGTACACATGGAGATGCTGCCTGGACTGACTGGGGCATGAAGGTACTTCAGTGCAGAGGCTGCCTTCCAGCTAGGCCCCCACTTATGTACCCTTGTGCCCCAGCCAGCCCCTCTGCAGCACGCTGAGCCAGGGGGCTGGCAGGCTGACCCCTGGATCCCCCTGCTCTGACCTGGCTCAATGTGCTGCGCACTAATTGCAAATGCAGATGCATCCCTTGCAAACACAACTAATCTTTAACCTGCCGTTAACTCAGGGGCCGGCAATTATTTCGGGCGGAGGGCTGCTTACTGAGTTTTGGCGAGCCATCGAGGACCACATGACAGGCAGCCAGGGGCAGATAAATATTAATTTTCTAAATATTTTAGGGGCCCCGCAGGCCAGATAGAGTGGCCTGACAGGCTGTATCAGGCCTATGGGCTGCATTTTGCCCATCCCTGCTTAACTGGTTACTAACATTTATTTATAAGCAGAAAATAAACACATGATTAAATAAATACAAACCAAAATGTGCTAAGTCTGCAAACATAATGGTTCAACATAAAATATTTTAATATTGGCATTTGTGATAACTACCAAAACTTAAAATTGGTTATATGTTACCAAAATGCCTTAAAACTGGGGTAGCATTCTTTCAATTTTAAGATAATCCAATAAAATAATAACTGGGTATTAAAGAAATCACTTACATGACATCACTTTAATGTATATTATACTCATCATGCTGTAATTTTTTATTTTTTACATAATGTATGTGAATATTTAACATTTCTTGTTTTGGTTACATTATATAAGTGCAAAAAGACTATATACATTTACATGCAAGTAATTTTTCAAATAAATATCAGAATAATCCAGCAAAAAGATGTACAATACTTAAATTTACATTTTTTGGACTTTTAAAAAAGAATAATGTGCTTTAGTTTAGAAATATCAAACTAAATAATTAAAACAAATGATTTGCATTAATTTGTAACTATTGTAATTGTGTAATACATTTATTTACTAGTTATGATTTAATCCTGCAACTAGAACTCATGGAAATAATCCTTGCTTATTTCAACAGTTATGTTTATTTCACTGAGATTACTTGCATGATTAAGGATTACTCATAGAAGGAGTTGAAAAAGGGTGGGACCTTAACTCTATTATGACACCTGTTTTTTAATGTAACATGCCTAAATTTGGGTCCAGTTCTGTTCTCTCTGAAGACAGACGTGCCAATTAAATTTTTCTGCACAACAGAACTGCATAGCAATAGAAAAATCATGTCATTGTATATCAGCTTCGCTGGAGGCAACAGAAATTACCAAGTACTTTAACTAATACAACTATATTATTTCTTGATCACTACAACAGTCTGTACTCAAAGAAAACTTTTGAAATTCATGAAAGACTTCCCAGAGTCAGTTCCTGTATTTGTGTCACCACCACACTCAGGGTTGTGTGAATCATCAGACTTATTAGTATCTGTAGCCAGAATTTGTAATATCCATGACTACAATTGTGATGGGTATGGAACTGGATCATATATATATATTATCAGTGCATCCAAAGGCTAGCCTGAGGAACACCTATTATTCCATTTGGGTATTTTTAATCTAGGGTTATTTTAACTACCACCTAAGGTCATATACTTTCTGTATCAGAGAAAAAAATAAAATACACTCATTGAATAGGCATAACATTAATTAAAATGTTTAACTGAAGTGTTGTCCTGAAATGGTGGGCAAAATTTTCTTGTGGTGTAACTGATTAAATTCAGGTAGATAAATCAAGCAGAGAAACTGATCATCCATTTTTAAATTAGTAAAACTCCATATTATTGCCATATGTCTTTTAATGTATATTTTAGGTATTATTTCCCCTCTTGAATTGAAAATGTAATGAAAGAAATCACTCAATTTCATTCTCAATCTTAGGTAAGCCTTATTGTTTACAAATGTTTCCTTGGATTTAAAGACATTTCTAAGTCATTTACTAGGAATGAAAAATGTAGCACAGCTTTAAGACAAACATGCAAGAAACACATTTATTTTTATACGAAGAATAATGTTTCATTATTAATATTTGAAGAATTACCAGATATAAATTATGGTGAGATTTACCTATTGAGTGTCAGGAAAAAAAAGAACCATTCAGTGTTTAAAATTAGACATCCAAGTTATGAGTGTGTGCTGTACGGATTAGTCTTTATGACCCTTCTATCTTACTCAAAGCTCACTCTGTAGCTTGGTAAGTTGTCCATAATAGTTCCAATTAAGAAAAAAAGTTATGGATCTATTTCTCTCTGTGTGTCTTGTGTAGTCATGCACACCTATTATACTGAGAATCACAGATTTCTCTTCTTTTTCTTATTTTACATCAATTCTACGCTTACATTATATTAGGCAAAGACCGCAAGGGCACATCCAGACAAGTGTGCACATGTGGTATGAGGTGCTGCAGACATGTTTGCAGTGCTGCAAACTGCAAGCGTTGTACATGCAGGCGTTCACTGTGCTGGGGGGGCAGTTTGACAGTGGGAGATCCCAGTGTCAAAAAAGTGGGCTGGCACACGTGGTGGCAGCATGCATCACCCGAAACTGGAGTCTGGCCAGCAAGAGCCAGGTTCCACGTGCTGGATCGCCGCCACTAGAGCTCTGAGAAGCCCCAAGAACCACAGGTAAGGCTGATGGGGCCAGCCCAGGTGCTGGCCCTAGTTTTTCCTACCCCATCCGGGGCAACTTCCTGTGTGACAGAGTGCATGTGCACGAGCATTCCCCATGGACACATAGTTGGGGCACAACTATGTGCCCCTGCTATTTGGCATTGGAGAAATACACATGCATGCTCATCTGGATGTGCCCCAAAATGGCAAAACAATAGAGAATCAGGTCCTGTATTTGTGATGAAACCTAACACCGAAGTTGTGACAATGCATATACACTCCATACTATGTTATGCACTTTTCCTAATTTGTGCTATATAGCTGTTTTGAACTAACAAAAAGCTGGTGTGTTCTAACAATGAGGTACTTGCATTTTAGTGGGAGGACTGTAAAGTACTTTCTGATCAAGTGTAGTTTTAAAATAACTTGGAGATCATCTGAGAAAGGAGAAATAAAAAGGCAAATGTTAGCTGGAGTCTTAAACCTATAACAAAATATATCCTTTTAAAGAATTGTATCTATACTTTAATACAAACTAGAATTTTTCACTTGAAAAACAGACTTCATATTTACATAATTTTCAGTTATACTTTTATGAAAATTTTCATGGTAAATCTTGGCTAGCCTCATAAGATTATTTGATGCCAATATACAAAGACAGTCACGGAACTTGGACCTTGTATAGTATTTGAAAAGGAAATATGATACAAAAAGAAAGTGAACTTCAGACATTAATACTGTGCTTGATTATGGGGAAAATGTACCCAGAGCGGTGACATGAACTGTTTTGTTTGTTTGTTTTTTTAAGATTATCCAGATTGTCTTGACATATCAAGAAAGTTATCTATAACATCTTCCCTCTGGAATTTTATTTATTTGTTCAATTTACATTGCTTAGACATGGTATATGCTCTAAACAAATGTGTACTGTTTTTCCTAGGTAACATGAGTTTACTATGTCAATATATTGTCACTACAGCATACATTACACATAAAAGCAAATTCAGACCTCAGTACTTGTCTGAAGCAGCTGGATGGGGCACTGGAAGATGCATATGCTTAACCAGCACTTTTTTCTTCTGTGAAAGACAACTCTACTTTGGAAGCAGAGTGCTAAATTTGCCAAATGAAATGTTTCACTGCAACTTTACCATTATTATATTAGCTTACCATAACATTTTCTCAAGCAATATATTTAGAGTAGTGATTATCATGTGATATCTACATCCAAGATGGATTGTTGGGTACAAGGTGAAAGTGCATATCCTGAACGGTTTTAGTTTAGTTAAAATTTTATTTACAATTTTAAAAAATGCAATGACTTGACTTCAGAAACATCCATTTTGATTTATACAGATGGAGGATTTGTTTATTTCTGTTCTCTACTTAGCATTTTATATACACTGTTATATGGACTCTTCCAATTTAGTTCACTGAAGCAGTTTTATTACAAACTTGTGCCTCCTAGTTCACCTTAACAGTGGCTTAGTAAGTAGCATTCTATGCTTGATAGATGGAAGACTTAGGTCAGACTTTCTCTTTTGGCCTAGCTGTGGTTGGTAGCACTACTGAGATAACTGTCTGCACAGCTGCAAGAAGTTACTGTGTGAGCCACATACAATACAGCAATCCTTGTAGAAAGGTGTCAGTCTCAAGAGATTACCTTACCACAAGGCCAGAATTAAAACAGCAAGTATGGCTACTACCAAGGCACAAGAAGCAAGTGAAACAGGCCACAAGGAAGAGATTAAAAAAAAATCAAACTGTAGAAATGACTACTCTCTTCAGGTTAATTATTCAGACTGAATGCTTTGTGAAGATCAAGGCTTCTTTGGTATTTACCCTTGCTAAAGCCAGTGCAGCAAGTGAAAATTGAGACAATGCTGTGTCTAGACTCCCTCTACTAGGATAAAAAAAACCCCTTAATTCATCCCATTAAGATGTTAAGTTATGAACAACAAAATATATATATACACAATCCTACTGAATAAATTTTAAACAGAAGACGTTTAAAATAAATAAAACTTACAGGTTTTTAAACAGCTTTTAAACAGTTAAAACTTAAGTATGCTATTTTGACCTTATGAACCTTTAAAATCCTTCAGAGCACCCTGCCAAAAGAGAGAACCATGGGTCCCTGCATTTGTTAAACTGAATTACCTGACAGTAAAACTCAGTTAAAGCTCTTGGCATTGGCGAGACTTCCTCCCACTCAGACCTGTTACTGTGGTAGACTTGCACTTCGTCTGTAATTTCATCTGGAGCATAGTCACCACCTAGTATGTAAATTTTGTCTTCTATTCCAACTGCTCCTGCGTTAAAGCCAGCACATTCAAAAGATCCTTCCCCTTTCCAAACACAAGTTTCTGGGCAAAAACTGTAAACCTTGTAGGTGGAAAGGTCACATATGTACAATGTGCTGTTCACGGGAACAGCTTTGATTAATGTTGCATGAAAGAACTGTCCAAACTCTGCTACAAGCTCAGACCACTGATCTGTCATAGCATTATACTTAAAGAAACAATCAAGGGATGGATTAAAGGCATCAGTAATCTCTACTTCAGAGCCAAGGACATAAATTATATTTTGACATGCACTTGCTTCTGGATAGTATATGCCTCTTGGTAACTGGCTTACAGATTTCCATTCTTTGGAGAGAGGATTATAAGACTCTACATCCAAAAGACTTCTTGTGTCTTGTGCTCCTTGGGTTTTTCCACCAATTACAAACAACTGATTTAGGGTCATGACAGATGTGTGCATTGTCCTTGTTTTTTTCATAGGTGACACCAAAGAGAATTCATTTTTGACTGGACAGTAACACCAGGTCTGGTCAGTAGCATCATGAAATGGCTCAGCAATATGAAGTCTAATAGTCTTACAGCAGTTCCCTTTGCACCCACCAGTTATAAATATCTTTTCTCCATAACTACATAAACTTGAGCCTGGTAGATCAATCATGTGTGTATGTGGCAGCTCTTTCCATTTATCAGTTTTGATATTATAGCAAAATGTATACCTAATTTCTCCATTTTCTTCCGTTTTGTGAACAAATATATATTTTTCTGTTGTTGAAGGGCGAGCATCTGGAAACAGTCCACTGGAATTTTGCACACTTTTAATTGCATCTTTCATTATTACTAAGCAATTAGCACTCTTAAACAAATGTTCTTCAGAGTGCAAAAAGTCCTGCAGGGTCTTTTCAGATAAATGATGTAATCTCACTTTTTTAATCAACTGAGGCAGATGCTTCTGTCTTGTTTCTAAGTTATGTTTGGTCCACTGAAGGACAGCTTTCAGCACAGTTTCTTCCTCAGGGACATTTAGTTCATCTGCTTCAAGACATTTTTGTAATATCTCAAAATTCATCTCCAAGAAATCAGCTGATCTGAGCAACAAGGAAAAATGGTGCAGTGCAAATTCTAGTGTATGATCAAACAAATGAACAGACCCATAACTTTCTGACAAGGAAAGCAATTGTAAACAATTGACAAGATCGATAGTTTTTACTAGAAAGTCACTGCAAGCTTTGGAAAGGAGTGAAATTTGAAGAAATGACGACAACTGGAAGAGCATTTCCACATTATCATTTGTTATTTCTGTTTTTCCTGTATAGGCATAATCAAGAAAAGCCTTCACTGCCTTAGGTGACAAATTACTTATAGTAACGCTCCCATCATCTCTTTCTTTCATGTTAACTTCAAACATGGCTCTGCAAATAAAATATAGAAGATACACACAAAGATTAGATAACACATCTAAAATCATCTTGCAAAGATGGGGAAGACAAGGAAACATGATACCGAAAAGAAGGAAAAATCAACACAGTTCAATAAAATATTACAGCAGATGGGCTGACTAGGGCTAAAATATGAAGCACTGTGAAGGTAAGGAAAAGAAATCTAATCTGGTGAAGAAAGATGAGCCAATGGAGAAACAGATGAAGTTAGATGGTTGAAGTGCTAGGGAAGGAAAATGATCTTGGCAAGAGTGTTTTCAATGGATTTGGGGGACAGAAAATAGACTGGAACTTTCAAGGCCAGAGAGAAGGAGGCTTTAATGGTACATGAGATGGTAAGAATTGGTAGGGTGGAGAGAGAGGAAAGGTTGATTTTTTTTAATACTCTGTTGAAAGATGAAGTATTTAAATTTGTGTTCTGGGTTAAAAGAGACGGCTGAGACAAAAATACTTTCCAGGTTAAAAGCCTGACAACTGGGTGGATGATGGTGAAAAGGTGAGGACAGGATGTCAGAAAAACAGATAGGAACATGGGACTTGGTGAAGGGAAACAGAAAGTCATGGGAACAGATAATAATATTAACTAATAGAACGCAGAGGGAGAAAGGGAGGAACATAGGATGGAGCATTACGGGACCCATCCTCACCTGTCATTCTATGATACATTGTTCCAAATGGTTTACTTTTAAAATGTCACTGCCACAGAGCAGGGTCTGTGGCTCTGATGTGTTCAGGCTAAAGCATTCCCAAACTAATTCCTTCTTTTCCAGGGTACATTTCCACAGTCTATTTAGGAAACTTATGTTGAGTTTCTAGCACAAGAGTAGCCTCTCTTTTTCATGTAGGTCCTTGGTTTCTTGCTGCCTAGTTTATAAAGCAGTAGGGTCTGTCTGACACACTCAGATCCTTAACTTCCTGCTAGCTCCTGGATTTTTCCTGCAAACAATATGCAGGGAGGATTTTTTTTAATCAGAACTTTCCTGCGTTCCAGGTTACTCAGACCATCTGCATATGCCCAGAGTCATATTTCAATAAGCCCATAACTGCTGCACTGAATTCTCCATCAACAGAAATTTATTGCAATTAAGAGATCACATCATGAGTGAAAGCAGTGAGGGTCGCAGCACTCTGTGGCACAGCAACAAAATGAACATTAAATTGTAACTAATATCTCCTTCACACTTCTTGCATGTACTTTGTATTCCATTGTGCTGTGTTCTTTAATATAGGGGACCAAATTCAGATGTATGAGAAAGTGCAAATCTATTGGATTACACCTATTTATGCCACAGATGATCGTAGGGCATGGTGTTCTAAAATATTTAAATAACATGGATACTCTGCAAAATATACCGTGATATGTTTTGCTTATACCTAGACTACTTGATATGCAATAATACCTCAATAATCCATATTAGCTAATGTAGGGAGCCTAAGAAAAGTAAGGTAGGAAGTAGCTGAAGGAATGAATGACAAGAAATATTCCTTCTTATACTGTTTCTCTTTTCTTCAGCAATAGTTCTTGAGAAAGTGCTGCCTTGGTGCACAATTCAGAATCCTTCAGGAAAAGAGGAATAAGTTGGTGATGAACTTCCACTTGCTGAAGGAAAAAATCACCCACATCTTTCAGCCCCTCATCCTATCCTCTCAGTAAGTAGGCAGTGGGAGTGTTTACACATGCATCATTATTACACAGTAACTTAGGTCAGTGAGCAGTAACTATGGCAACTTACACTGACTCGGGAGTAAATTTGCTACCTGCATGACGTAAGTAGCAAATTTACTCCTGAATAGTTACTGTGCAGTAACCCTATTTGTGAGAATTGACTTGGGAGTAACTTTATTCCCAAGTTGGTGCACACACAGTGTTACTGCACTGTAATGGCTACATCTGTAGACGCTGGTCTAAAAACCACATATTGTGCAGTAAATTACTGTGCAGTAAATGCACATGTAGACACACCCAGTGAGTACATTACTTGCTCCCCATTAGTCTTGATTATCAAGGAGGCCAGGGGTAGCTTTCATAGGAACTGCTGCAGAAAGAGGTGGGAAGCAGAATTATGGAGGTAACTTTACTAAAGCACTTCTGCTCCATGTAGTATTGCCAGCCAGTTCCTCTTCACTCAGGGGGATTTGGCATAAGAACTGTGTTTTCAGTGAAAGCATTAGGAGAAGCAGCTGGCAAGAAGAACTAGTAGCAAATGTCTCAACATGTACTCACTGAGCATCTCAGGGCTTCAGTTCATGGCAGGGGCTAGGCTAGGCAATGATATGTTACTCCGCTTTTGCCTTCTTGATAATATTACCTCATTTTCAGTAGTTTTAAATCCTCAGCAAAGAAAAACATGTTTTGTGCTTAAGTGAACAGTATACCTGGAAATATACTTTCAGTGTAGATTTGCAAATTTGTGCCTTACTAGAGCAAAGATTAACAAGATTCTTTGGAAATATAGATTAGTCATGTTGTAATAGAAAGGACTATATCCTTTATATGGATGAGCACAAATCATTCATTAACCTTTATAAATCCTGGTACATAAGGAAAGCTGACCAACCCATTTAATGTCTGGGTGTTGAATTTGACATTTGGACAAATTTGTAAAAAATAAGAAAAAAATAAAAATCAACCTCAGATTTTAAGTTACATTTAAACCAAATATCTCCCTTCTTAACTCATCAGAAAAATTGTAAAATGTATTATGAAGTTTATTCCATAATGTTGTGGACTAATTTACTGTAATATAAAATATATTCATGATCCGCCTGTTGCCATTTTACAATAACAATGTCTGAGATGTGAGTATTAGGACTTCCAAACCCATATTCCATTTTGTGGACATTTATGTAGATAGAGAATACACATAAGCATGGCCTTTCCACTATGCTTAATAAGTAGTTAGGATAGTGTATTTACATGTTAGAGTGTAGGATGGCATGTGCGCTTCAGATTCAGAGCCATTCTACTTTTTCTAATATGCATGTCTAAATTTAGGCCCAGATTAGGATCCTAATGAAAGTATACATAGTTTACATATATGGTTATAATGCATATATATTACATGCATAATTTAACAATCTTTAATATAATGCTCAAAACTAAGAATAAATACAAGTCATGCTGATCTATTTTATAAATATATATGGTTATACTTT